TTTAGGGTTTAGGGTTGAAGCGCTTAATGTAGGGACCTAAATAAATTACCAGTGCCATTTTGGGGGTTCCTTTTTATAACAATTACCAATACCATTTTGGGGGTTCCTTATTATCATCATACATAATAAAGTACCCCAAATAAACCCTATTCGAATCATGAAGGCCCCCTACGTGATGCCGAGCCGCATTCCGGTGCCAGGTCAGTGACATTTTGCAGGCGGAGAAGCCGCTGCATCCAGACGTGACGTCAGGCCGGTGGACAGTAAGTTCGGGTTTAGGGTTTAGGGTTTAGGGTTTAAGTTCGGGGCTGTTGCGGTTAATGGGGGCCTAAATGACGATTGCCCATACTATTTTGGGCCGATTCTCGGGGTTCCTTGTTATGCTATACCTATCGTAAAATATGCCCCAAAACCTTATTCTGATTATCAAGGCCCCTGCGTGAAGCCTTCCGCAGGTTTCAGGGTTTGGGGTCTTGGGGAGTTTTTGGGCTGAGGGCCTAGGTTTGATGCCACAGTCAGGTTGAGGCCCAACACAGGGGTCTGGGGTTTAGGGCTTAGGGTTTTGGGTTTAGGGCTTGGGGTTTAGGGTTTAGGGTTTAGTGGCATAGTGTTTGGGATCCCAACGCAAACTTCTCATGTTTTCAGCCTGAGCTTACGCACTTGATGGTACAAGAGCCCACATTGCACCATGGTAGTGTCGGTATCGGCAGCGCGCTCGCAAAAGAATGAAGGCCCTGTAGCCCGCATAGAACCTCCCTAAACCTCACACCCTAAGCCCCAAAACCTTAAGCCCGAAGTTCTTAAGCCCTAATCCCTAAATCCCTGGACCCCGAAACCCACACGCCAAATTGTGCACTCGGGCCTTATAGAACCCCTACAAAACCAACCATATAGATCCCTTTAACGGAGCCCTAAACCCAAAACTCTGCCCGTATAGAACCCAAATCACTGACCCCAAACCCTCAACCCTAATCCCAAAACCCTTAAAGGATACCCTTAACGCTAGAAAACCCTGCAGATCCCTTCCAGGGAGCCCCGAGAGCCCATAGGTCCCTTAAATTAGAGCCCTTTACAGATTCGCAATCTCTGCCCGAATAGAACCAAAATCCCTAAACCCCAAACCCCAAGCCCTAAACCCATTGGCGGACACGAAAAGAGTCGAACCCAACTTAAAAAACAACCCAAACCCTAAACCCTAAAAA